TATATATTTATTGGTTTTCTGTTTTCTGCATCTTAAAATCACAAATCTAAATTACAGGGCTCAAGAGAAATTAATGCATTTAACAACTCCATATGTATTTCATGTAAGCCCATTGCAGTAATCTGTCTAACAAGGATAGTAAACTGGAAAAGTTCCCATGTGTAGAAAAAGTGAATTTCTTCTTTTTTTTTGCTGACTAGAAAACAGTAAGGCAAGTGAGGCTGTAGCTGAATATGAAATTTTAAGAGGTCAGGTCACATTTAAGCAAAAACAGGTAAAAGTTTTATCTACTTATCTGAGGAATAAAATAAATATGATCACATTAAAAAGATGTAGCTTTCATAACTAAACTTGAAACAATAATTGTGTTAGGTGGGGTGTATTCAATGTCTTGAAAGAACTTGCCAGTATAAACATTATTACCCAATTTTTTCAATATTGTGCCATATTATTTAGAAATTCTTCTTACATTTGGCCTTTATATTATCAATTAAATGATAAACCTAAATATTTTCACTTCAATTTAGGGAGTATCTATGCCCTTAAGTAGATACATTACAGGATCTTTATACCAATTCTATTTGCAACAATTCTAGTTAAAAATGAACCACATCTTACCACTGGCATCTGTAACGGTTACCCGAGCTTTAGTAATATCATCCCCAAATCTGTTGCTCGCTTTACATGTATATTCCCCAGCATCAGCCAATGAAGCTTTAGTAATGCGGAGTTCTGAGAATGTCCTAAGGAAAAAAGGTTGAATAAGTATTACATAATTTTATGCATCACTGAAAGAACCAAACATACACAAAAATACTTTTTAGGTTTGTTCTTCCATTACTGCAGGAGCAGAGAACAGCCATCTTCATAGGACAAATAATATAACATAATATAATAATACATATTTTCCTACTGTAGATTTGATAGTAGAGGAAAAGGAGTGGGGATAGGACAATCTATTGTCTTTAATGTGAGACTAGCCTTCAATTGCCTATTCTAGCTGATCATTAGAAGTTGAAACTAAAAAGCAGTTTGTTTTTTCCTCCTTGCTCCCAGTTCTGTTCTCTGTGCTTGTCCTCTTTTAATATGAATATCTGAGCACAAAACTTCCTATTATTAAACATTGTAAGTAACTCTAAGAGCCTTTTTGACTGGGCAAAGTAAAATGCTTCAAATAATACAAATAATCAAACATTTAGGCCCTATTTAAAAAAATAAAACCATCTTAACAGTAAGACATAAAAAACTTATTTGAGTTGAGCTCAACCCCCCCTCCTATGGCTTTATGGATACATCTACATATTTATCTTGGCAATAGTACAGACATGGATTGTCATTTCTTCTTCTGTTTTAATCTCCCATCTTAGACTATAACCCTGAGAGTTTCTGGCAATCTCTCATCCAGATACTAATGATGGCCAACCCTGCTTAACTTTGTTTTGATCAGTTAAGATTTTCAGCTACTCCCAAATCTTGTAGGACAATCTTAAGTACAGTAATTTAACTCTTCAACTACTTCACAAAAAGCAGTGGATTGCATGAGGCCTTTCAAAGACATTAATTACATGCTTTGAGATCTTTTATGATCATAAGGGATGTAACTTTTTAAAAACAAAAGCTTAATTTTAGGATTGCATTCCGAAGTAGACAGCTACCATGATGAGTTATAGATTATGGCATTTTATTATCATTGTTCAGTACTATTTAATGCAACCTTCTCCAATTTTCCTAGTAACTTCAGAGCTTTTTATATCCCTATAGGATATAAATATAGGATAACTGAGAAGGCAGATATAAGGCTAGAGGTCTCAAACCACCCCTTCTAGAAGTATTCTAAATTCACATCTCGGCCTCAAATCCTACTTGGGTAGAGCCTTGGTAGCACTTATCTTCCAGGTGGTGCCTTATCCCTTAACCCAGCATGTGAAAGAGAGAGAGTTCTTGCAATCTGGGCTACCTTTCTGTTGATTAACAGATCAGATTCCAGGATAAAAAAAAAATCCAGGATAAAATACATGGAATCCCAGACAGAGTTATATAAAGCTATTATGGACAACTGAATAATAATAATAATAAAATCTAACACAATATACCCTCAAATACTTAGGGGATGTTCAGTGAGTGCTTCAATAATTAACACAGTGTAGATATTACAGGGAAAGGAAACTGGCTAGATTTCTAAATTTGGCCCACTTCTAAAAAGGGAAGGATTTGGGGTGCAATGAATGGCTAGAAACCAAAGTTCATTACAGCATGAGAAAGGTGCAGGAAACTCAGATCAAATCTTTTGAGCTGTATTAAAATAGTTATCAAGAGACAAGCACAAAGGGTAAAATGAGGCTACCAATTTCACTTTACTGTCTCCATTTGTATTCAATATCAAATATCTATTTTTAGAACAGTATTAGACACACCTTTATGTTCCAGCAAGTGTTAGCATATTAGTACAGACAGTCCCCTACTTACGAACAGGTTATGTTCCAAGAGGCTGTTCGTAAGTCTGTTTTGTTCATAAGTCCAACCAAGTAAAAAGTAAAAAAAAAAAAAAGAGGAGGAGGCAGAAGGCAGGGCAGCAGTGTGGGCAGAGGAGCTCTATCTTCTGCTACCAATGTGTTGCCAGATGAGGCAGGAGAGGGGTTGGTAGTGGAGGAGAGGGGAGAGGGGGCGGAGGCGTGCCACAAACTAACCCTTTCCTGCCTTCTCCCGCCTTCCAGGAGGTTGGAGGTTTGAATTGGAGTTGGAGTTCCCAGATAGGGTTAGTTTACATGGTGTGCTCTGTTGCTGGGCGAGGCAGAAGACCTCCACACCCTCTCCCCTGTCCTCTGCCACTGCCCCCTCTCACGCCTCACCTGGCAACAGAATGCGTCGTGTAAACTATCCCTTTCTGGGAACTCTAACTCCAATGCAAACCTCCAATGCAAACGGAAGGCAGGAGAAGGCGGGAAAGGGTTAGTTTGTGGTGCGCTGCAAACTAACCCTTTCCCGCCTTCTCCTGACTTCCGGCTCCGACTTCCGGCCCGACTCCTGGTTCTGACTTCCAGGTTCATCTTGTCCGTATCAGTGAAAGTTCACAACACAAAAGTTTGCAAGTAGGGGACTGCCTGTACACTGATTTGCTGTTCTTAACTTATAAGGAGACAAGAAGGTGGCCTAAATAACAACTGATAAGCTGTACAGTACGCTTTTTAAAACACAGACATACGCACACACCACTAACATAACAATTGCCCTTACAATGTGATAAGTATATTTGGGAAACTGAGTTAAATCTAAAATGTCTTTTTCTTAAGATCATTCTGAACAAGGATTTGAACGTGAGTTTCTCTGGCCTAAGTCTACTATATTTTCTTATACTACAGTGGCTCATTACTTCACCACATTGGCTCTGCAAATATTATTAAGTGGTGAACAAGACCAAGGTTTTCTATAACTGTTTTGGTACTGCAATGTGCTATAAATAAGCTACTAGAATAAAATAATTATTTGCACCCATGGGCAATATTTAGGAGTGACATTAAGATGGCTGTGTGTATCTGTATCCCACACTCACTCATTTATAGTTTTCCTTGCTTCCTTCAGACCAAGTGAGATTAAATCATTCCAAGAAAAAACATATGAGTGAACCACATCTGACAAAACCTTTGCTCACCTAGACTCATAATTGTCATGTAGGATGAAGAGAGTCAAACCAGCTGGAAGGAAGTTAATTTCAACACGTGGCTGGAAAAGCCAAGTCCAGACCTGGACTATTGAGACCATTCTAGGTTATAAATGTAATAACATATTTGTATTGTATTACAGCCATAACTGACTGGTCAAATTTGGACTAGACAGATTCAAATGGGCCATAGTCTTTTGGTATGTATATTTGAGCTTAAAACAACAAGAGAGTCAACCAGAACTTGGTGGAGAGCCAGACACCTTCCAACTTTAATTATACCAGTACTTTCCATAATATTCACAACTAAATTGTTAATATGAACTTTCACAAGATAATGAAGACTGAAAAACTGTCATATAACCTCACTTTTCAGCCAGATTGCTCTCCATACTACATATATGTGTAAGGGTTACTAAAGTCACTTTTGCTCTTGGTTCAGGCCCTTTGGGAATAATGATCTGTAAGCACAAATTAAAAGGAAAGAAATCTGACTGCAAAGCATAGTGTTATGTTTCCTGAGTAGTCCCTAATGTTACCAACTACACAAAGCAACACTAAGAAATGATTTGGAGAACTCTTCCAAATGGAGGAGAGCAAGGCAATACAACTTACCAATTACTTGATTTATGATTACTTTGGAAAGAGCACATATTTATACCCAAAAGTAAAAACTGAGAATTCTTCTTCTTCATGCCATCTTTTATTGATTTTCAAATAACACTGTTATTCAGAAAGATATGCTTTTATTCTGAATTTTAAGAGGTCCAACGAGCAGCCTTCTGAGATGAGAGTGTCATGTCCTCAGGGCTAGCAGCCAACCAAGGAGATGGAGAGGAAAACCTTAAGTCATTGCAATTCAAGGAAAGCTGTCAGCCCTCCCTTTTATGAAATCCCAAACTGTGGCTATGTCTCTCTCATCTCTTAGCTAACTTGGCAATGAGACTTCAGAAAAAGCTGTATTTTTTACATTTAGAGTCAGAAGCAAGAAGGGCCAAACTAACTAGGATATCATGACCCTAGTAAACTTTTTAAAACCTCAGATGACCATTATTGAGTTGTGGAACAACAGATTTCCTGTAAACTCTTCTAGTGAGCTCTCCAGGGTACTGACAGAGCCAATGCCCAGACTTTCATTTCTATCTCTTCCTCACTGTAATTAATCAGTATCTAGAGGGGTTCCTAGGGATTCTCAAGTAAGAGAGAATGGGGGGAGTGAGTTATATGAATGGAACTGTGAAAGAACAAAAATGTTCACTTTAAGGCTATAGAGAGTACAAAATTACCAAAGAAATATAAATGCTAAAATAAGTAAATATTCTAGAAGAGATGCACAATTTTAGGAAACAATAGAAAGGACTCTTACATGTACCCTTATATGGATCACATGAGGACTCATCGGAGGAAACAAACTTTAGAAAAGATTCTAACATTAAATATCTAACCTTGTGTGGCCATTGGTCATACACAATTGACATCTATTTTATAAGTATCCATAGCAAATGCATAAAACTGTGGATTTCTTACAGTTACAATATATGCTTTATATTTTAGGATGTGAGTTCCAGATTTCTTCAAGTACAGCCTGGAAGTCACCAAATTAAATTCCACCAGAGACCACGGTAGGACATAAAATAAATGCATACAGTGAATAAAAACATGCTTCCTATGAATAGCCTTACAGAAATCGCCTCAGCTAGCAGGTTGCATTTTCAAATGCAAATAATGCATGAGGAGGAGGAGGAGGCTACTTCACATCCTATGTATATAAATTTCTATCCATTCCTTAAAACTCTATCAGATATACCTTTCTCTATTGAGCAGTTAGCCCAGTAATAAACTGAACTGCTCTCCTTATTTTATGAGCACAAGAGAGAAGTAAATGACTTTTATAACAAATATAGCTGAGTGAACTGGGCCAATTACTAACCCTTAGCTTATTTTACTTTACCAAGTTATGGTGAAGATAAAATAATGAAAACACACAATAAATTGTATAATCTGAAAACACTGAAATAATAGTAACATAGTGCATTATTTAGTATTAGACCAACTAATATAGATGCAAGCAATACAGCACATATCCCTTAATACCTGCCAGGCCAGGCTTCGTGCTCCATCTGATTTTATTTGTAGATTATTTTTATATATTTTAAAAATAAGACCAAGAATTTGCCATGGTGCAAAACAAAGGGACAGGATTTAACATTAACTATATTTCCCAAGATGCTTTTGGGTCACATATAAGCAGTATAGACATTCTTAGATAATAAAATCAGTGGTGTCTACAGCTGGGTACTTTTGTGACCTCTTCCCTTGTATAAAAAGTTGATATAAAATCTGAAAAGTAGGGGGGCCAGAATACAGCCTTGTTTCACCCCCTTTTGAACTTTAATCAGCTTCAAGAGAGACCCTTGCATATTGCACCTGATCTTAAGGGTCATATTGGTGTGTAGGGCATGAATTAAATGGAGAAGCCTGTGGTCAACTGATGTAGCTTCCAGCTTCTCCCATAGTCTGGTCCTAGATACTGAGTCAAAAGCTGCATTAAGATCTATAAAGGCAGTGTACAATGATGTTTTTTTATTGGTTGAATATTTTTCAATCAAATGCTGTAGGATGAAACATTGATCAGTAGTGCCTCTGCCTTCTCTGAAACTAGCCTGCTCTTCTGCTATCAAGGTTTTCCTGGTCCAGCCAATCCTTAAGTTTTTCTTGGAGATGTTTAGCATCAAGTTTATTAATTATGTTTAATAGACTGATTGGCCTATAATTTGCAGGATCATCTCTCTTATCCTTCTTAAAGATTGGGACTATAATTGCCAAGCCCCAGTCCTCGGGGACATACCCAGTAGTGCCAGTATAGGTGAAAAGTGATGCCAAGACTGGAGTCCACCACTCTATGTTGTTCTTTAATAATTCTAGAGGAATAAAGTCAGCCCCTGGGGCCTTCCCTGTTCTGAGTTGCCCAATGAGAGACTTAATTTCAGGTGCTGATACAGGGCTCTTCCCTTGTAGTAATTTTAGACAGCATCTTGGTAGGTTAGAAGGAGGGCTAGCTTGCATTCTGGTTAATGGATATTTTGTGGAAGGCCATGTTGTGAATATGGAAGGCCCTTAACAATGGCATATTTTGTATATGATAGGCTTTTAATATTGTGTACATGTCCACCAGTGCAAAAAGTCTGCCTGACTCTGAACTTATATGTATTATGGTAGTGAGCAAAGCTTTCAGCTTCCCACAGCATCTCTTCAGGTTGAAGATTAAATAAAAGCAAGACCAAGTTAAAAGGAAGAAATGAAGGGATGCAGCCAAAATGGATTGAATAGACGCACCAACTACAGAAATGTACTTAACTGCCCCATGCAATGTTACTGTTAATTGCTTTAAAAACTGCCTTTTTATTTTGTGAAAATAATCTTTACTACTCAATTCGGTATGAATAAAACCAAAACATACTAAATTATGTTTAATTTAAGCCATATGTAAACATACAAACCTTTACATTCAGTTAGTTCCTAAACTGCATCAATTTCAGGTTATAAAGATATGGAAGACACTTTCAATGTGTTCATTATAAAACTGAAAATTTGCTTTCTCCTGACAGATTCAATAGCTTCTATTCCACGCTTTTTAAGATTGTAATTAAGGTGAAGTCTAAATATTAGTAGGAACTGTAATGTATGATTGATATGTTTCTACTGTAGAAAAATTTTATGTGAATTCATTTGTTGTTGAACATCATTTTTTTTTAAAATAAAGACTTTACTGAAGAACATCCCATAAAGCTTAATTAGCAGATTTTGCATCCACCTTTACAATTATAACTTTTGTAGAATAATTAGTTTGTTACCATGTCATTTATCTTGAATGAAATCATACCCCCCCCCCAAAAAAGCCGTACTGATCTAGCAGAAGCTCTCTATTCTGGCAAGCAATAACTTAATATAACCATTACACTTATGTTGCAAACAGAAAATTGTGTTAAAGTATCACAAAACACCCACATGGAAAGCAGAAGATTGAGCCTTTCACCTCTACACTGCAAACTTGTAAACATCACAATGGAGCTGCAAAATGAGGTAACCAGGTCTGACAAAGCAAACTGTGGGCTTTTAAGATATTTATAAAACTATATCTTTTGTAACCAATTTGTGTTTTGGAATTCTCTAGCTGTTTTTGTCAGGCCTATATAATAGTATAATCTGAACTCAGTTATTTCTGGCTAAAATGGGTTAGGTTGAAGCACAAGTAACTTCTGTCATCCAGAAGTGCTGTCAGTAACCAGAACTTTGTGTGTTGTCAACAAAGAGATCTTCCAGAAAATTGTTCAAGAATTGCCAGCGCAGCCAAGAAAGGGATGGAAAAGGCTAGGGCAAAGGAGGAGCCAAGCTCCAGTCAGACCAGGAAAACACTCAGGCACAAATCAAGCACAAATTAGGGTGTGTTAAAGGCATTTCTGTTTTCCAGTACAGGTAGTCCTCGACTTATGACCATTTGTTTATGACTGTTCAAAGTTACAACAGCACTGAAAAAAGTGAGTTACAACCAGTCCTTGCACTTATGATTGTTGCAGCGTCCCCACAGTCACGTGATCAAAATTTGGGTGCTTGGCAACCGGCATGTATTTACAATGGTTGCAGCGTCTTGGGGTCACATGATCGCCATTTGCGACCTTCCCAGGGGGCTTCCGACAAGCAAAGTCAATGGGGGAAGCTGGATTCACTTAATGACCATGTGATTCATTTAACGACTGCAGCAAGAAAGGTTGTAAAATCAGTGTGACTCGCTTAATGACCGCATCGCTTAGTGACAGAAGTTCCGGTCCCAATTGGAGTTGTAAGTCGAGGTCTATCAATACACTGAATCTAAGCAGAAGCTCTAGGGGGGAAAATCGTAATCCTCCCTTGGGCCATAGACATCTTCAACTGATATAAAATCTAATCTTCAACTATGACCATGATGTTGATATGCTATGCTTTTAAAAACAAATAGAAATCTATATAAGATATATCTACTAATTTTATATAGTTTATTCAGTTTCAGCTATGAGAATAAACAAGTTTTTATCTAAGATAAGGTCTGAAGATCCATTTACCAGAAGAAAACTCATAGCTTATCTCTTGAGTTCTCAGACTCCATCTGAAATGTTCTACAACTTTCCTCAACTTCACAACCATATTAGCTATTCCTGAAATTTAACATCAAGTCTAGCAATTTTCATAAACATTGTAGATTCAATAAATCCTCCCAAAATGATTCATTTAAGGCATGTCTCACAATGTACCAGGAAACATACTACAGTGCAAAAGATACTGGTCATGTTCTAGAAGGTATACACAGTTTGTGATTCTGGTAGATCTATTTGGCCTCATCTTCATTTCACATAGATAACTATAAATATTAGAATCGTTCAAATCTCACTATAGCTAAACTCTCAGAGGGGATGTCAGTGATGGCTTTCAGAATTATCCCGGAGGGGTTCATGTGAGCTCCTTGTTAAATTTGGTGGATTGTCTAAGCTACTTGTTAATGCAGATGAAGTCTCTGGAGTATCTTGCAAGGACAATATGTGCCACATGCCCAGTCTTTCTTCACAACAGGGCCTATGAATTCTGGTTGGCACTGCAATCTGCAAATCAGCAGCATGAGAGATACTTGTGTGTTAATATTTGGTTCAGTTGCTTTTGCTCAGAGGAAACAGACTAAAATACATCAGAATTTGCATTTTAAGGTTGTTTTTTTTTAAATTCATACCAGGATTTTTGCCTTATGACTGCTATGAGGCAGATTAAACTAAAAAATAGGAAGTTTAAACATATCTCAAACCAATCAAGACATTACACTGATTCCATAAATGTTAAAGATTAAAAACCAATCTAGTCAGATTAATGAAAAATTAACTAATATACTGATTCTGACTGCCATGCAACAAGTCCATGAATTTTCTAAGCAAGAATGAGAGGAAACTGTAGCTATTTTTTTCTGAAACATAACAATACCTGGCTAGTAAATTAAGGAGGATTTCTTTTTCACCTCCCCCAAATGATTATTAGACTGTGAATATGTCTAGCACAGTGGGTACAAATTTAACTAAATTTATACCTTCATGCACAGTTTAGATCCCTGCACTACTAACACAGGATTAGAAATATATTCATTGTAAAGGAAATTCTGCCCTGTAGAACTAACCTAATGATGACAAAGAGCTTCTATTTAATTTTTATAAAGTAAGATATAACAGTAGCATCATAAAACCATCAAGTGAAAATAAACTAATAACCTATTTCCATTAATTATCTCTTTCCAAACAGAATAACACATTTTGGGCATCTGAGATAATTAATACAGTTGATATCTGCATCAGGGAGAACAATTCTCAGCTTTCTAGATACACTGCTATATACTTACTTTTGTTTTTTGGGGCTCTTAATCTTGATATTTTCTGGTCTGTTTCTTTTTGTTATTTCTTTTCCATTCTTTAACCATTTGAATTTGAGAGAGAGGTGCTCAGAACTGGCTTCACATCTGAGAACTAATGTCTGACCCACAGCAGATTCTTGGCTTTTCATCTCCTTCAATTCAGGAGGCACAGCTAAAGAAAAAAATAATAATGTGTAAGTGACTACGTAGTCTTTGGAAATGAAAAACAAAGGCAGAAAATGACATCTGAGCAACTTGGAGCATTTAAGACATCTCAAGATTAGGCATTCTTTACATGAAAGTTGCCAATTTCATGCAAAGAAATTATGAAATGAAGGGGAACAAGTGAGAGGATATGTAAGGCCTACAACCCAAGCTGCAGTGAATCACTAAGTTTGTTATACCCTCACTTTTGTCTGTGTATTCAGTAATGTTATGTTTGGATGAACTGATAATATGATCAGGAAATGCTGGTCTCTCCCATTCCAATATTTGTACTTTGTAGAAAGTCAGGGACTAAGACCCTGTGCTCCTCCTGTTGCTGGACTTCAAGAATGGTTGGAAGTGGAATTCCAGAAGATTTCCACTCATTCTACAGTTGATAATAGTATGAATACTAGAAGGAAGCTCCAGAGAAATCTGTCTTACCTGCAAAACATTCCTTCCCCCACCCAGGAAGAACTTATTTTAGAATATTTATTAACCTGTAAAACATTTGGAATTAGTAAATATTTATTGCATTTAGATGAATTACGCATGGAACTTTTTTCAGATTTTTAAAAATATAAAATTATATAAATTATGTCTTGTGAAGATAATCAAATTCACGAGGTTAACTATAATTAACAGCTGACCTGTGCTCGAACAAGAAATCTGAACTGAGGTATTTATTTATGTCATTTATATCCTACCCACTTTGAGAGATGCTAGGTGATTCACAAATAGTATAAAGATCTTAAAGCATTAAAATAAAATCCCATAATAAAGCAAACAAGCAAAATTAAAAACTTGAAAAATGACCTGCACCACCAACAATCAAACTCCAAATGCTGATTAGAAAAACCCAAGTTTTCAATACTTTCTGGGACATTAAAAGTGTGGGGACATCTAGATCTCAGAAGAGTAGACTGTTCTAAAGACACAGAACTTACGGACTCCCAGTCTGCCAACCTCCAAGGGAGAAAACATCCACAGCAAAGAGTGGGCAGATATTATTTGGAAGATACTGTCTTGTAGGTAGTCTGGACCATGTATTTAGTGCTTTACAGGTTAGTATTGGCTTCTTGAACTGAACTCCCTGACAACTAATGCAGCTTCTGCAAAGTGGCTCCCACCCCCTATTATGTGGGTGGCTGTGTTCTGTACCACTTACAGTTTCTGTGTAATCTTCAAGTGAAAATTATTTCTGTTTTGTTTCTAATGGGCTTAGAAAGTAATAATTTGATTGTCTGATATCTTATTCTTCTAATACAAAGCTTGAAGTTGAACTAGAAAAAAAATATAACAAGCAGACTAGACACTACAGAATGAAAAAGCATTGAATTAACAACTGAATAGCAGAGGAATAAAAACAGAGCAGTAAGAATTATCTCTAGATTTGTTTACGCTACTGTCCTCTGCAAAATAATTTCAACAATCTCATATTTTAATGTTTTGAAACTTTCAGCAAAGCCATTATTTATGCAAATTTGATTCTGTTATACCAGAATTGAGAGGTTACTAGGAGATGTAAATGTAAATCTAACTGGTCCAGGTATTCATCATTAAATACATAAAAAGATGAAATTAAAAAGAACCACTGAGCTTTGAAAGCACATGGATCTAATTCAATTTGTGCAATGTGAATATTCCTCAATCACCTCTCCCTTGCATTTTAAATGTGTTCCATGGGTGCCTGAACTCTATAGGAAAAAAATCAGGGGGAAGTACAGAAATAGGCAGAGGAATCATAGATTAGAAAAATAATTCTTTTAACTAATTTTAATTTTGTTCTGTAATTTATATTTTAAATTTTATTTTTCTCATCATTGATCATGATAAAGTTTTTGATTTGACAGAAGAGTCCATTCCACTGTTGATGCCTGTTACATAGATGGTACATTGGATAGAGTCCATTACATTTATATCTCGCATTTCTTCTATTAAGGAAATCCAGGCAACATATTTAGCAGTTCCAGAGGAAAAAAATCACATCTGTGTTAGAAAAGTTGCTGCTTCATGATCCTTTAGATCATGCCCTAATACTGAGCCAAGCTCCAATAAAGCCAGGGTGTGTGAGTACTATAAAATTTATTCTTCAAAAGAGTCTACCTCTGTTAGTAATAGGCCTGTTTTGTTTACACTGCTCTCCAATTCTGAAACTTAAAGGAATATCTTTCAAGATCTAGTTTCTCCTTTCAAAGAGGGAACACTTTATACATTACATTTTGTAATAAAATAAATATGGGCTTTGAATTTCAGATGTTTCCATGACATAAAAAGCCAAATTGAAACATCAGTCCAATTACCCTTCTCCCCCTGACTGAGTTGCATAACTTGTTTATGACTTATTGTGCAGGGTGAATGCAGTGTATCTGCAGCTTTCAATGAGAAGCAGGAAGCATGTTTACGATTTTACTTTATTTTTTCTTTTAAAGTCTTGAATGGAAATCTCCAAATGTCCAATCCTCTCAATTTGCTGAACACAGTAAAGTCATATATGAAATCAGATACAGCAGCTGACACTCTGTGTGACTGAAGGGATGGGGTGTGAGCAACTGAATGGCACATTCCTTGGAACTCAATAAGCCATGCTTGCTGTGTGATACAGACACAATAAAACTAGACAGCAAACACAACATTTTCCTCTAATTGGAATGGGGGGAAAAAGCCTGTTCTGGTTCTCCATTTCCATTCTAATATGTTCATCTTCATTTTTAACAGTTCAGTTATTTAAATATATTTCAAAAAATGTAATGTTGACATTTACCAAGACTCAGGAGAATCGAAACCAAGACTGATATTTTGGCTATTAAGCATCAATTAATATCTTATGGCACAGTTGATATTTTTTTAAAGATTAAGGTAACTAGCCAGTATGATGAGCAAATCATAAGAAAGCTTTCCCATCAGATCTTACGAAAACAGCAGCTGTTAAATATATTCATGTAAAACCAATTTGATTATCATGTACATCCACCAGTAAGTATAAATGTCTTCAGCCAGGAAATATTAGATTTTTTAAAATAAAATTCAGTTACTTTTACATAAGATAGGCAAAAATAATATTTTTTTTTTTGAAGGAATATGAAGAAACAGCAAAAGGAAAAAAAAAATCCTTTTAAAGATCATGAAGGTGTTATCCCCTAAATAGGCTGGATTATATATCGTCAGTTCTATTGCCTGAGATTTCATTGAATTACTACAAAATTACATTCTCAAGACAAGCAAATAGAAAGACATCCAGGTATATCTGAGAAGTTTTACTTCTTTAACATGATCCTTAGTGTCCCTTTTTAAATACAATTAATTTAAGAAGAAACAAGGTTAACTATGGAAAAACTAAGAGAAACTAGATTTCGTAGAAATCAACCTAAAGATTCGGCAAACCATTGTTGTATCTTTTGCTCCATCAAGTTTCATTAACTGACCTTGTACTAATTAGCTTACTGTTAGCAGGTTTGCTGCTTTTCAAAAAAAGGCCAGTTGTTGTTAAAAGGCAGGGAATAAATATTATTAAAAGGTACAAAGGCAACTTGACTAAATGACACTGTAGGCCAGGTATAGACAAGGACTATGAAAACAACCTTAATTTGACAATAAATCCCACTGAATTCAGGAAAAAACTATTAAAGGGTAAAGATATATATGGCTGAGTTGCACAAAAATTATCACAAATGTTTTCTAATTATTATCTCACAAAGCATACAAACATCTTGCAAAGGGCACATTTGCAGCAAAATCCATTGTATGCCAATACAAAAACAAGACCTATTTGATTAAGTGAGTTTACTTCCAAGTAAGTTTGCACAGGATTGCAGCCTTAGTATGTGTGTTTTTTATAATAAAGGCAATCTATTTTCATAAAAAGTTTTTTTACAACAAATGCTGTGGAGAACCACAAAGATGACCTTGGGGAAGGTATGCAGTGAACAGGCTTTCAACGGGGATGTCAGCCCTTTGAGGAACAGCAGATTCCATAAGAAATATTGGAATGCTACATTATTGATAAAGGCTATAGTAACAGAATTTTGCACGCCAACAGCGTTTTTCTTTCCCTCCCTCTTATACCGAAGAGAGTCAAGGTGGGGTCATGTTTATGTTTCATTCTAACACCTTTTTCCCTTCTCAAATCAAAATTTTTATTACGGCGTTTAGGCCAGAAAACACTACAATAAAAATACATAAACCTATAATTAATAAAACTAAAAAGTAGACATAAAATACAATAAAATTACATAAAATAAAGTAACAGTAATATAGATAACAGTGGCAATCACCAAAATTTCTACTAATTTTGGCAGGACAGAGGGTGGCACAAAATCAGGCAACCTGGAAAGATACATCAGAGTCCTGGTCAGATAGAAGAAGTGAGAGATGAGCATTGTGCTCTCTGCCAGGATAATTCTTCCTTTCTTAGGTTTAAGTCATGCTTGGCTAACTGCCTCTGCTGTATACCTTCCCCAAAGTCATCTCTGTGGTTGATGCTATGTAATCTCTGTAAATTCATAAATGTTTATATTTTCCCACAAATCATACTGTCTCTAAGTTAAGTGTATTTTAATTTTTTTATTTCTCTGCATATCTCAAATAGAATTAATCAATATTATAAGAGTAGTTCAAACAAACTACTGTGGGTTTGTCTCTAAAATCCTATACAGATGTTATAAGTGGGCTTCTTATGTAGCCTGAACATTTGACCCATCTGTTAATTATCTATTATTATTTGCTAAGAATTGAATAACCCACAGGCTTACCTATAGTTGATCAATGTTTAATTTTACAACAATTGCCAGGAAATACAGCACATGCTCACCACCATTATTAATAATGTTAATATATTATTTTATTTTGGGGGGTCTGTTTTGTTTTGTTTGATTTTGTGTTGCTTTTAAGATCATTTCAATCCAGGCTGTCTGTCTGGTTTTATGTTTTATCTGTTTTTATGAATTTTTTTGGTTTTGTACACCACCC